CCGACCACCGAGCGGTCTCCTCATGCTGTAGGCCGTCTCGCCGACGCTACCCTCAATCTGATTTAGTCAAGTGGCTTCCCGGAGTATGACCGCTGATGCATTCATCAGCTTCGTGGAGTCACTGTCTGAGTTTTGGTAACACGATGAAGACCAGAGAGAAGGATGATGTCCCAAGGGGACAAGACAGTCTCAGGTGAGATTCCTATCAGATATTTTAAGAAAACAAAATTCGAAACGACTGAAAAATAAGTTTTTTTCTCCTCGATTATTAGTATTCAATGTAGTAAATAGTCGAATCAACGTGAAATTTGTCGTAGTCGCTCCACTCCACTGAATACAACTAATATTTCTTAAAAGCTAATATAAGACTATAAGTATTCTGGAAGTTTACTGCTCAAACAAACAGAGAAGATGCCGCGTGTTCAGATAGAGAGAGAGCATTCAGATCACCTGAATTTCTCCACAGCCATCCTTTATTTCCGGCATTTCTCCCCCTCCCCCCCCCCNCCCCGCGAGATTTACTAACTATTGCACAAGGCTATCGTTTAATAAACTGAACCTTCACAACAATTTTCTTGTGTGGTTACACCAACAAATCCTACCTGGACTGATAGGAATTAGTTCAGTCTATGACCGATGGTCAACCAATCTAGTATGCTCCGATTTATAGTTAACCGGGCTTCCCGATTCCCCTGGTTAGTCAAGCAAAAAGAGTTTGTGTGCCACTCGATGATGCAACAAGAGCACATAATACGGCTCCGTACAAAGCGTATTGGACTCACAAAGATCTAATCCACCAGACCAAACGTTTTCGTTCGCCTACTTTCCCCGTATGGTTGTGCCACGTACTTGTAGCGTGCCAAACAGGTTGTTGATAAATCGTACCAAAGACGGATCACTAAGACCTCGTCTGACAAATATTCGAAGTCTAAATAGCTGCAACATTGACCCTTGGACGCACCCTATCCTGGTGTCCGGGTTGGTACTGTCGCTCCGGTTTACAACTGATACAAAAATATCAATGCCAAATTGGATCGTGAAATTTGGCCGTCGTTGGAACTGAAACCTAATCCTTATCTGTGCACGGCTTGCCTCTGAGCACTCACTGTTCGTGGACATTCATTATCCATGATTTTTATGGAGCTCTTTCTGTAGACAAAAAGTGAAAAAGTAAATAAACTATGATTTGAAGTGACCCTGAGACTCATGTTTGGAGTATAATTTGCAGATCCTCGGGATAGGCCCTTTACATATTGAGAGGTATCAAGTTCCAAACGGTTGCATCTATCCATGTTAACCCAGTTTTTGTTCCAGTAACTTTTTCCATCTTCGTGGTGCGCTTATCTTTTGTATTTTGTTCTCAAAGTGTTTTCTTCATTTAATATTTTAGTTAACAAAAGTCATAAATTAAAACGGGAAAACGAAAGCACAGAGTGATATGCATTTTCAAACAAACAGATTCAAATCACATTATTGTCATAAAAGAGAGATAAGAAACTATTAAATTCTATTCTAACCCCTAACCTGGAAGACGATACCTACCAAGAATGATCAACGGTATTAAACAACTTTTCCACTGGGTTGTACTCAGTGTATCTCTCGGTATTTCTGTAAGCAATTCTACTGAACACCCATATATTCTGGATGGCGAGTTCGCAATTAATAACGAAATAATACACTTATCGAACTGAGTGACTGATAATCAGCGCTGAGTTTGGGGTATTTGACCAAAGGTGGTCAACCAATCAAATAAAACAGGTATGAACAAGCTCAGTTCTAGTGATTTGTAGTCAAGTCAACACACAAGTATAAACTTGTGTGATTTGTGGTGGGACTGCGATGAGGAGGATGGGAGGTGAAGGGCCATGGCAGGTTGAGAGTGATTTCACAAGGAGGAGGGATTATGTAGACGAATATCAACCGCCTCTGGGGTGGCTAGGATGCGGTTTTTAATCGCTTTTGATCTGCGACCCCGTACACAATAGAGAGAGGCCGAAATGCTTCAGTCACACTCAGTGTGTGATCGGACTCGACGAAGTGTGAAACGATTGCACTTGCGATAGTTTTAATCACATCAGTGTTCAGCCAGGCCGGATGATGTTCTCGAACTCATGTAGATAGGCGCCTACTCGTGCGGCCGATATACGGTGCTCCACAGAAATACGTAAACTGGTACACACAAAATGAGATTGCAGAAGCAGGAGTTCTGTCTTTGAGTCGCGAACACAAGATCGGTCTGGACGTGAATACCACACGTAATTTTGCCGCGTGAAAAGTATTCTCCAACGCAGTTCTTAGTTTGAGGTTAACCAACTCCGCGATTGTATTCCATTTGAATGGAAGAGAAATGTATACTGGCTTCTTCTCTGCGCTTAAAAGTCTTTCCCTCGGAGGGTCATTTCGTAAAACGTTATCCACAAAACGTTCTGGATAGCCATTTTGTAGGAAAACATCACGATCACACGGTCAGGCGACTGTACGAACGGATTATTGAACATCCCTTCGCGTCGCTGAACACCAGGACGATCAATAGTCACTCATGAGTGTAATGGTTCCACATTTAGCTGAAACTAATCACACTGTGAGCCTCATTGGGATACGCATTTAGCACGCATTTCCTCCTTTGATGAATCCAGAGTTCGAATCCTTGAGTAGCTTTGTTCTACGGATGCAGTCTAATGAGGGTGAAGCTCGAGTCCAGTGCTGACCCAGTGTACGAGCTAAGGATTGTTCGCAAAGATGGAATATGCAGGATGGTGGAGCACAATGTTAAAATGAACTCTCAGTATAACGAGCTTGTAGTGCAGT